AGCCGGGCCCCTTCCAGCCACATCCCGGCCCCACATCCCGGCCAGGCCTCCCCCAGCCAGCGCGGCCGTCCCGGCTCCAGCAGCGCCTGCGGGCGACAGCAGAGCCAGAGCAAGGCTGAATCCCCAGTTTTTGGTTCTGGGGATCTTTAACTGCCCTGCACGAGAGCGACCAACACGACAGCAGGCACCTCCGGTCTCAGGCAGAGCCAAGTGAAGTGGATATAGGACAATGAAGCAACATAGTGATTTACTGTTTGAAGCGATCACGGTTTGCCACAAGTCTGACCGTTTCGCTCCCCCTTGCTTTGAGCATCATGCTCCCCCGCGCCCCCAGCTCCTCCACAGCCGTGCAGCAAAGGCCTCTCCTGGAAGTCCCGTTTCATGGCACCGCACTAAACTGAACCAAAACTAGAGCTCCCGGGGCTGTAGAAACGTGCTGCAACCTACGGATACTCCATCACGGCCGAGAGCAGGCAGAGCTGTAGAGATGAGCCAGGTCAGAGTGGTGCTTCAGAGGACAGGAGGGCAAACTAGGGAATGTTAACAGTGCTGAGGATTTGACATCTTCACTGGTGACTGCTTTTTAGACCCTGGCAGAGGCCACCTTAACAGAGACAACAAAAGAGGTTTCAATGAGCCTGCTGGAAGGAAGAGAAGGCCGAGAAAAGCGTGAGCACCCGTGCAGTTAGGCAGTCCCGAGTGCACGGGAGGGGGCAGCTCCAGCAGGACGGCAGCGCGTCCTGCCCGAGACCTTCCCGCTGCAGCCGGTCCCCGCTCCACGCTCAAGCTCCCAGCCCTCAGCTCCGCACTCCCGGTGAAACGCAGACGTGGTGCTGAAACTCCGAGGTGACGCCACGACAACACACAGGCCCTTCCTGCCCAACGCGGCGCCGCTCCACGCACCGCAGAGACGGCGAGGACGAGCCAGCAGTGCAGAGTGGCACTAACAAGGGGCAGCGCAAACACCCAGACGTGCAACACACACAGTCCTGAGAGAATCCCAAGCACGGTGGGACCCGGTGCCCGGGCGCCCTCCCACCACAAGGGGCTTCTGCAGGGCCAGGCCCATTCTGAAGAGGAGGCACCAGTCATGCGAGTAGCTGAAATCAGCTGGGAAGCTGCCTGCCTGGGCTGAAAACATCAGCAACACTTAACCACTTCCTGGGACTCTCCCTTCCATCAAGAATAGAAGTTTAAAAAAAAAAATCCCTATTTCAGAGCCTCTCCAAGACAGCCATGTGGGAATGGCTTCACTTGGTGGGGAAGGTCATGGGCTCAAGCAGAAAAGCAGCAGCTCTTTCACACCATACTTCACTTCCAGTGCACAGACACTACCTGCCCTCACAGAACCAGACTGTGGTGCATGTGCACAAGCGAAGCAGGAACCTCCCTCCACTTGGGACATTTCATTTGAAGAGTCACAATCTTGAGTCACTTGAATAACTTAAGAGGCTTTTAATTTAGGTACAGCAAAAATACAAACCAGACAGCAGCTTTACATTTCGTTATCAGTAGTTACTATACACGCTAGTGTTTTTATATCTGCTTGCTAATTAATGCATCTCAGTACTCTGCACTACCCAGCACAGCCTGAACGCAGCAGGGCTGCCGCGCTCAGCCCACTCCCTGCCTGCGTCCCGACCGCGCGCCGGCCCCGCCGGGCGTTACGGCACGCAGGAGCCCTGGCGTCAAACCCACACGGGGCCGATGCTCCAATGCCACCGAAACGGAGCACGTTAACTGTCGGTCAGTTGTCTGGTACCGAGTGGAGCACATAGAGTATTAGCCATGTATTAGCCACGTCCATCTTGCACACAGCTGCTCCCAGCAAGAATAACTGCAGATGTGCAAAATGAAGCATGCCCTCTTTCCAAGAAGTCTGAATCTCCAGCCTAAGTTTTCGGATGCAGAAAGCACTGAAGAGCTTTCTGCAAATACAAACGGTGCACAACAAATGGGGACAATTGCAGCATTTTCCCACCCACCTCAGTTTTTTCCACTTTTAATTCCCCACCTTCTGCTGCACTGAATTTTGACCGTGAGATGGGAATCCTCTTTCCAAAGCCCTTTGGCTCTTTGAGGTCTGTGATGTTCAGGAAAACAGAACACGCAGCAGACACCACATTCCTAACCCTGCACAGCGGGCGAGAGCGCACGCCTGGCTGCTCCAGGGGCCAAGCAAGCTGGAATAGGACAGCTCTTCAACCGCAGGTGAAAACCTAAAGCCAACCACAGGATGAGGAAAGACCCTGCTCCTATAGGGGATAATCCTGGTCTGCAGGGAACAAGGGGAAGAGGCTTCTCACCTCAACACAACCCCAGAGGTGGGCACGTTTTTCAGAAGTAAAGCACTGGCTCTAATGAAGCCCAGTAATTAAGAACCAAAGCAAGCGCGTCAGCCACATGACGCTTCTGTTCAGGGACGAGCGTTGCCTCTAGAAGAGATAACCCCCCGGCTTTGGGCTAGGAACAGAAGCGATGCGGAAGACGGGCTCGGGCTGCAAGCGCTGCCGTCCCCCGGGGAGTGCAGCAGCGTTCCCGGCTCCAGCGCACGAGGGCACGGTTCAGACGACACGGAATGAAGCACGTTGGAATGAGCACACCGAGCTCCAACACCAACAGCGGCGGCGCGGGGCCGCCTCGGCCCGAGCGCCAGCACGGGGGAACCCGCGGGAGCGCTCGGGACGAGGCGGCCCCTGCCCTGCCCTCCTGCCCGCGCTGCTCTCCCGCTCCCGCGCGCCCCACGTGTCCTCGGCGCTCCGAAACACGGCAACGAGGCTACTAGACCTGAGTGAGCGGCAGGAACTTCTGGTAATAGCTTTTTGTAACGTCCATCATGAGCTCCTGGGTGCATTCCGGGAGTTCCCCGGAGAAGAGTCCTGGAAGAGGAACAACAGCAGGACCATCAGCACTCTCGACAGAGGAAGCAAAATGAGTTTATAATCACCATTCAAAGCAGTTACTCCATTTTAAGACTGAACTGTAAGTAAATACTAACAGAACAGTTCTTCTCTTGTAATCCCCACCACATTGCTATGAGTAAACATGCACCATCTACCTGACACCTCTCAGAGTGACTTTCACAAGCTAAAAATGCTACTCTTCCTTACACCAAGTGTCTTATGCCTTCGTTTCTAGGTCCCAAGCAAACAGGAGCCTTTGTCACAGCACCTTGTTTTTAAAATAAGAATGTCTAACACTATGAAAAAAGTAAAATTAAAGGGATCTTACCTGGGCAGCCCGAGAACACTGTGAAAGGCGGGACGACCGTTTCAGGAGGCAATACTGTATTGTCCAAGATTTTGCAACAGTCTTTCAGAACACACCTACGGCCCTGAAATGGAGACCAGGGGAAGCTCACACTCACAATTCTGTGTCTTGTTCTGGGTAAGTTGAAGCTCAACCAATTTAACTCCTCAAAATCATTCTCATAAGGGATATGTTCCAGTATATTGGAATATATCCTCACCGTGACTGAATGCTGTTCACAACTGCATTTAAGAGGCTGATCTTTTTCTCCTAAGGAAACGTGTGTACATGCTCTGGAGTCACACGTTAACACGCCAGCGAGCACGCTGGAACCAGGAACCCTGGTGCTGCAGGAGCACAGCAAGGGCTGCAGCTTGGGAGGCAGCAGCTCCTCTGAGCTGGTCCTCACACGTGCCCCACAGCTGCCTGTTTCAGTGAAACACCATCCTTTGCATTAACGCTGCACTATGTGGGCCTTAAGAGCAGGCAGAAATATTAACTAATAACCTCGGTGCGATTGCCTGGCCTGTGTCCTATAGGGCAGTCCTAGAGGGCCCCAGCTGAGCCCCATTGCCACTGGGACAATATTGTTGCACCTGGGTTTGCAAACAGTGGCCAACTGCACCTGGTACCCCCAGAATGACAGAGAGTAAAGCAGCCCTTTGTGAGGAAGGAAGGGGAGCAGCTGGTCTGCTCCAAATAGAGCATGTAGACACCACTGCCCAAAGCTGAAAAGAAAGACCAGGGAAGAGCACTCACAATGACACAGTTCTTGCCTATGTGCACGTAGGAGCCGATCTGGGCGGCGTTGACAACACAGTCCTCTTCGATGAAGACGTGATCGCCAATGTGGAGAGGAAAGAAAGCGACCCTGGGACAGCGGAGAGAGTTGCCTGCTCAGGTGCCACAACATACAGATCAACCGCAGTGCTATCAGGTCTAAAATCACACCGTGGAGTCACCCATCTCCAATTACACTAACAGGCAAGTTGGATGCTAAGGAAGACTTCAACAGCAGCTGCTTTTTCTCAGGTATTTTTAAAGGATGACTCAAAGAAACAACAAGGATTTGCCACATCAGTAAAGCACACCGAGATCTAAAGACTACAAATGAATGAAGAACAAATGAGATGTGTTCTGCACTTTGCTATTTTAACAGATCCCAGTATTTTCATATTGCAGCTTTAAAGGCACAGACACCCTCAAAACAGAGCTGAAATTTTTAAGAAAAAAATGGTTTAGGGAGATGCATTTATGCAAAACTATTGCAGAAGGCACACAGCCCTCTCGAACATGCCACGCTGGGGAGGCTCTGCGTGAAGTGCCCGGTTCGGGAGGCCGCGCTCACCCCTTGCTGAACTTCTTGAAGGGCGGCCGGATGACGCTGCGGCTCTTGACCACGCAGTGCCGGCCCACGCGCACGTTGGCCAGGTCCCCGCGGATGATGCAGTCGTTCATGACGATGGTCTGCGCGGGGCAGGGGAAGGGGCTCAGGGAGCCGCCGCGCACGGCACGGCGCGGCCCGGCACCCCCGCACGCACCTTGCCGTTGAGCACGATGTTCTGGCTGCCGCACAGCACCGACTGCCGGCTCACCTTGTTACCGGAGGCCTGCGGGGAGAGC